TACACATTATAAGGTATTTATCTATATAAATAAAACAATTTTTAATATTTTTTATTATAAATTAATTGTGCTTAGGTGCACAATGATTTCCATATCTACTAAATGCTTGTTAAAGTAAAAGTCTTTTTATTTATTGAGGGGTTTCTAAATCTTATTGAAATATCTATAATATCTATATCTATAGATATACGATATTATAGAACGTTGAGTGTTGGAGCTGGAACAGATTTTGGGTGGTAGTAGTCCTTCTGCAATTTGTTTAGTATAGTGCGTCGAAACTTTATTTTTTCATCAAAAAGTTATTTTTATTATATTTGTTATCCTTGTGCACTCGAGTTGGACCCAATTAATACAAATAACATGTACTTTTGCTCCTTTTGGGTTGTAATGATTGCCATTTTCATTGTTGTTATTATTGTGTTTTTTGGCTTCTGAATTTGAATTATTGTTGAATTTGTACTTATGAAGAGTTTATATTAAAAGGATAGAAATATGTTTATAAATTCTTTAAATTTTTAAAGAAGATTAAATTCTTTCGAACATTTCAGTTTTTTAAAAAAATATTTTTTCATATGCATAAATAGATATTATTAATTCTTTATTTTGACATTTCAATTTGGTAAAAAAGAAAACAAAACATTAAACGTTAAGTGAGTTGCAGCTCATTTATTAGCGATAAATTATTTGCATTGAGGGGTTGTTGCCCATAAAAATGTCATGGTAATTATGCGCGTTTAAATTAATAAAATCAACTACAAATGCACAGATAAATTCACATAGGTATATATATATATACATATATTTGTCTGAATTTGGCAGTCATTTATAACAAGGAACGGATGTTAAGAGCATACGCATTCAAGCAGTTATGTGAATGGTTGCATTCGATCAGTTTCGTTTGTTGCTGCGGGTTAGCTCGAACACCCGATGAAAATTAAATGAAAACCACATAGCAGATGTTGCAATTTCATGAAAATGATGCATCCCAATTCACATATGAATACAACTCATGGTATTGCGTTAAGTTGCGTTTCTGTTGTACAGATATTTGGGCAGGAGCTTGAGGTGATAATTCAATTTTGACGCAATAAAACTGTATTATAAAACATGTACAAAAAGTGTATGCAACCCTCTTGTAGTGAATTTAAAGAACTAACCAACATTTCTACAAGGATTCTAAAGATTAATTGTACTCTTTATAGGTGGTCCTTAATTTTTAACAATATTATCATTAATATACTATTTAAAACTAATGAGATTAGTTAGAATTACATATAAAGACAAATGAAATTATTTTTATTTACTTTTTTGAACTAAGTTTAAGTATTTAAATATAGACAGGTAACAAGAAATAATAGTGTCTACTGCATGTAGTTGATATATTATATATGCTTTAAAAGCTTACTTCAGTAAAAAATACTACTTTTCATACAATAATTACTCAAGTTAAAGTTGTTTCAAAGTTTCTATGTTTTAAGATCTTTATGAAGCTTTATGAGTGATCATCGTTATTAGTAGTACTTACATATTAGCTTTAAAAAAAAATCTCCGATTAGGTAAAATAATATTTTAATTATTAATGAAGAAGATTGTAAGATTATTAGAATGAAGTGAGGCTTTAAATGGTTTAATGTTAATGTAGAAAAGTATAAAAAAATATACAATTTTTGAAGTCATTTATGATGAATCATTTTCTAAAGTTATATCAGATATTATAGATATTATTTCTATATTATCTAATATCTATATTATCTATTATTTATTATTTCTATAATATCGTATATCTATAGATATAGATATTATAGGTATTTCAATAAGATTTAGAAACCCTTCAATAAATAAAAAGATTTTTACTTTAACAAGCATTTAGTAGATATGGAAATCATTGTGCACCTAAGCACAATTAATTTATAATAAAAAATAT